TGAAATAGATGTGGAATTTTCTTTACCTATCTTCTATATCTATCCTTTCTCTCTAGTTAATTTCTCCTCTTTTTTATTTTATCTTGATCTCTTGGTAATTATCAGGTCCTCAATAGCCTTTATTCTGTTTTCATGAAAATCATTCTTCCCTATACATCTTAGTATTTTCATCATTTTTTTCCTTAAAATCTGTCAATTGTTATTTTATTTCTCTTTGATTTTTTTTGTTTTTGTACTATTGTACTGTAGTTTTGAATTTCTAATTCGAAATTTTACAAATGATTTGAAAATATTTCTTAAGAATATGAATTAGCTTGGAGTGGGATATAATATTTTTCAAAAATCCATTTTGTGTGGCTTTGCATTTGTGTTTTCTGATTTTTTTTTCTCAGAGAAGCTTTGTATGGATGCTTTCTGCCAAGTTCTGGTCATGAGAAACATCTTTAGTTTCCCTAAGGATACAATGCCACACACCCATAGGCAGGAATGAGGCACCTTCTCATTTCCATGTAATGAAGAACACACTTTAGTCAATGGCTTCTTGGGAGGGAGAAAAATGGGTCCTGATATTTCATTCTTTTTTTTTTAGCATGACTTTAATTTCCACTTTCATTCTACGTTCCTTGCATCATTATGCATTTAGTGAACACTTTCTCCTCCCTCTCCCCAATCTCCTTGCCAAAAGAGCAACATCTTTCCAAGACCGCCACTCCTGGGGACTTTTCTCATTACTTTCTGTAAATTCTCCATGAGTCAGTGTTCTGACCTCCAAGTTTCAGCACCTTCCTGATCAGGTGGTGCTTCTGTCTGGGGTCACTTTAGCTTTACTTTCCAGATCCCAGGCTACTGTTTTCCTTTCTTCCTCTGTTCTGTGCAGTATCCCCTGATTCCATGTTGGCACGACTTCACAGCTGACTCTGCAGGGAGCTGTCATGAAAGTCCACTTCCCGTCAGACAGATTCACAGTGTTTACTAATCGGCCCCCTCTCTGTTCTGCTTTGGGGATGGATATGGATGGTTTCATTTACTCTTTTTATTGATGTGAAAGTTTATGAAGGGATCTATGCAGAAATTTAGATTATGAGACCATGAATGGGAATACTGACCTGGAAATTATAGTTTCCTGTTCTTATTCCCAAATGGTTAGGTGACATCTATTTTTTGAAGGCTTAAATTTATTTCTCAGTGATTTGAAATGATATAGATAAGAGACTTAAAACTATTTCTGTTCTAGCCATCTGTCTATTTTTATTCTGGTAGCCTAATCTCTTAATTATTATAACTTTCACACATTTCTAATATCACAGAAATGCAAGTAACTGTCTGGATCTGCTTTATATAATGTCCCTGGTTATTCTTGTCTAGCATCTTCTATATGAATGTTTGTGACATGCGATTAATCTCCCACACTTATATGTGTATTTCAACTGAGACCACCTCCAGTTTAAAGATTAAACACCAGGGAAATAAGAACATATTTAAAGAACATGGAATCTTCCTATATGGGAATAAGCTATGTCTCTTGATTCATTAATACCTCCTCTTATGATGTTCCTTAAAGTTTTGTAGTGTTCTTCCAAGGGATTTTGAATATTTATTATTCCAACTAATAAAGTAATATAATAAGTTGCATATACTTAATACAACAATATAATCCTAGTTACAGCATTCCTGTAAAGGGGGCTACGGCCCTCCGGCTATGTTTGCTTTTTGTTACTTCTGTATTGGGAGGCATTCAGCTTCTCCCATCAACTCTTAGCACACTAACTCATGGAATCTCTCCATTAACACTAATGGTTTTCAGGTGAGTCTCTCTGGTTTCTCTTCAGGTAATAATAAAAAGGAATAACATTTACTGAGTACATACTCTTTGTCCAGTACTAAAAGGGTCATCTTATGTGTGCATTATCCAATTTATTTTCACAAATTTGTAAAGTATGTGGTATTAACATCCTCACTTGAGAGATTAAATATTAAAGTTTAGACAGGTTAAAGAGCCTGGCCTGGATCACCCAGTCATAAGTACTTCTAGGTCAGTGTAGAATAGACACAATGAATGGTAGTTTTCCTTTATTCTTTCATATCTCTCTATATATCATAATTTATCCCCTCATTCAACCATTTTAGTTAAGTAAAAATGGTTTTACTTAACTAAAATAGCCATCTGTCTATTTCTATTCTGGTAGCCTAATCTTTTAATTATTATAACTTTCACACATTTATAATATCACAGAAATGCAAGTAACCGTCTGATTCTGCTTTATATAATGTCACTGGTTATTCTTGTCTAATATCTTATATATTAATGTTTGTGACATGTGATTAATGTCACAAACATTACCCAAAAGGGTTCTCCTTTGATCATCTACATGAAAATTTCAATTTGGAGTTGGATATTTTTATAAAAATGTTAACTCTTTTAAAAAACATTTTACTAAAATAAAGTTTTTTTCAGATTTTTACTTTCTAAGAAACCCTCCTCCTATGAACTGGAGTTGAATTATCTGAACCATTTTTGAGCATGTATCAAGATGACCTCCTGCTTTTAACTTTCAGTAGATTAAGATACAAATTCGACGATATTAGATTTTCTAATGTTGAAAGATTTTCAGTCTCAGAAAAATATTCTAAATAGTCATGAATGCTATCGGTAGCCTTGGAAACACTTCTTAATCCCTCTGGATATGCTATATCTCACATGTTTCTGGGAATTTATTCCTTCATTAATTCCGCAAACTTGGTAAGTGGTGTTTTACAATAGGCAATGGCCCATGCACTGTTATTAACCAGTCGTGTGGGGAAAGACTCTATGAGCTTGTATTCTAGCTAATGAGACAACATAAGCTCAGAGTGGTACCTGGAACACGGAGGCGATGACACGATGTCAGTCACCACTGAGAATCACACTTGTCATACACCACAGGTTGAAATTCACCAGTATTTTTCACAATATTTTGCATCTACTGCCATGAGATTTCTCAGGAGTATTTTTGGTGCATTTTCTTTATCAGGTTGGATGATCGGGATGATGCTAGAGTCATAAAAATGAGTTGGAGAGATATTCTTTCCCTGTTTCATAATGATAAACATTGCAGAAGTCTTCCAGAACTGACTTTCCTGATAACAAAGCCTGTTTAAAGATAAGTTCTGTCTTCCTAAGTATCTCAAATGGTTATTTGATGATTCTTGTTTCCTTAATTGATTTTAAGTAACACATGTTTTATTAAAAATCCTACTGTTTCATTTTGAAGTTTGGAATGTATCTGCACAGATTTGCACTGGGAATGTGTTGCTATTTCCTATTGCTATGGCAGAGAAGGAAGGTCATGTTTCAAAGGGCCACAAAAAGGGAAGAGAAGGAAAGAACTTTTCCATCCTCTTCCTCATCACTTCTATGAGAAGTTCTGACAGTGAGAAATTACAAATTAAATTTCAAGAATATACATATTACTCACCATTTTAAACAGATCACTACTAAGTTCAACACCAAGTAGACCACTGAACAATTCTGCCAGAAGAAGAAGAACCCCTAAAACTAAAACGGTGTGACCACACCGTGCCAAAGGCACTCCATGGTCCTCTGGTGTGCGCTCTGGAGGTCTGGGGTGGGGATTTTAGGTGCACATCTGCACCTAGGATAGCCATCCATGGAGCTTAGGCTCATGTGGCTACCCATCAGCCACTGATGGGTCATCTGTCTGTTCAGCTATCAGTCTGCCTCATCTCTCCATCTCCACTATCCAGACATTGGGTTTGGGTGTGTTGATGTGAAAATGCACTAGGAAAATGACTTCAAGTTAAACCAGTGCTACCATTTTTAGGGGCTCCGAGTGTGTCCCCACAGGTTCCCCGGCTGGGAGCAGGATCCTCAGTAGCAAACCTTTAACAGGTGGGGTCAATGGGAGATGGCTGAGCCATGGGGCACTGTCCTCAGAAGGGATCACGGTCATCCTCATGGGAAGCCCTTAGTCCTCAGGGGAAGACTGCCATCAAGGCCCCTCCCCAGGCTGTCTGCTTCCGTCGCTCCCTTTCCCATGTGCCCCTGACCCTGAGGTGCCATCGGCCATGAGGTCCTCAGCAGAGCTGAGCTGGTGACAACACCACACCCTGGGACCTCCAAGACTCTGAGCTAAATAAACCTCTTTTCTATTTGAAAAACCCAGCCTCGGGTTTTGTGGTGACACCAGAAAATTGACTCATACAGCTACCGTCGATGCCATCGTGCATTTTATTTCTTCTCTTTTAAAAGAATGCTCTTCTTCATGCTTCTTTTTTGCCCTCAAAGTTATATATTTTATGAAAAAAAATCATAAAAGTAAACATCTAGAGGTTCAGTCCTGATAGTTCTCTGCTTTGGTTTTTAGATTTTAACCGTTTCATCCAAATGCTGGCCTTGGACCATGTCTCTGGCAGAGCGACAATCATGCAGAATTCTTGCAGCTGCACTGCCCTTACCACGGGCTACCAAACAGACACACACATTTTGGTAACTGTGAAAGAACCATTATATAAACTCAGGCATTTTCTGCATGACTACTCCATTTTCTGAAGGGAGTGAAAACTCCAATGACTGGCTAAATAATTCATTGAAACTGCCTCCAAATCTATTACTAAACTGAGGAAATGAAAACTAGTCCACAAACTTTTTTTAGATAAGAATGTCAAAATCTTCAGATTTAGCATGCTTGTGTAAAATTCCAGAGAAATTTAAAGGGCACAGTGCTGTTTTGCCAGGTTTATGTATAAAATGCAATCCACCAAACTGGAAATAAAATACTATTTAAGAAGAATATTTATTGTCAAAAGAGGATATAAATGACTCTACTCAAGATTTAAAAAAAAACATACATATATTTTATTTAGGTCATCTAATGTAAAATTAACTATCATCCCTGGCAAATGCATTCAGTTCAGTTCCTGGGAAACAATAAAAATTCCAGGAATTAAGAGCCGTTATTCTTGGACAATGACATTTTATTTAAAATATTAATACCCCAAAGTGGTTAATTTATCTTAGTTTCTGAGTTCGCAGGAGCACATGCCAGTGAATCTGATGATGTGCTGGGGACGGAGATCCTGCCACAGAGACATGGAGTTCCTGGTGCCAATGAACAAGGGTCCACGTTTTCGTGAAGCAGATTTAACTTCTTTCACTCAGGTTCCATTCGTGGGTCAAGTGGGATGGAGAGCACCACGCAGCTATGGGGCATGGTGCTCAGGGCTAATGGCCGTGTGCATGTGTGCACGTGGCTAGCCGTGGCTTCAGAGTGGCCAGCACCAAAGCGCGTTACCAGGAAATTAAATACAGGTTTGCTTGAGCATTTTCTGTCGTGAGGACAGGGAAGGGTTGAGCAAGAACTAGTAAAAATGGAGTGAGAAGAGAGATGAACAGCTGGGCAGTCTCCCAAAGGGCACGCTGGGCCTCCCCAGGGACAGCCGGTGCATTACCAGGGCCGAGGGGCCGTCTTCTCCCAGAAAGGCTGGGTGCAGAGCAACGACCACATGGCTTCCATCCATCACCTTCCTGCCAGTCCTCAGTGAGTCAGGCTGCAAGGGCGCCTCCCTGCACTGAAGTCTGCTTCTTTCTTGTTCTTGTTCCTGACACCCTGTTGGGTTCTGTTACTTGACACCTTGGTGGCTCTCCATGCAATTTGCACTTGGCTGGAAACCCAGGGGAGAGATTACCAGGTCCTCACTGTGACTTTAAAAGGAGCCTCAGGACGTCTCTGCACCAGGTGGCTGCTAACACCCACAGGCTGCCCACCCCTCTGCCCTCTCTGCCCCGCCCTCTGCTGGAGTTGACCTGGGAAACAGGATCCAGGCCCTGCTTGGAGGACAGGTTAAGCATGGGGAAATCTGAGCCCATGAGAGTCACCTACCTCAGCGTTGAACCACAGGGGAGACCACGAGAAGCACGAAGTCACACACAAAGACCTAGCGGTAGAGTGGAGGTGTCAGGCTGGACAGAAGGACAGTGTCGCAGCGAGAGCCTAGGAAGGAGGAGCTATCAGACTGTTCACCTTGACCAGAGCTGAGACGAACCAGAAGCTCTGGGACTGCTGTGCAGGCTGGAGAGCGGCTTGGCCACGCCTGGGTGCCAGCCGGGTCGCCCTGCCCTGGGGAGCCGGGACAGGAGCATTCAGCACAAGAAACACGTCTTCCGCCAGGGTGGAGGGGGTGAAGAGGCGTCCTCCTCCAGGCCGGCCAGCAAAGCCCGGACAGGCCCTCGGCATGAGGAGAGCTGGCTGCAGCCTGCACCCCCTTGTGTGCCTGTGGGCTGCTGGGGCCACACAGCGTGGGAGGCAAAGGGACCTTTCCTCTGTGCCATTTGGCTTCGCCCGAGGAACCTCCTCCAATCTCCTGCCGGGGAGTGTGAAAGCGGGCTCTGCGCTGTGGACCTGGGCCGGCCTGCAGGTTTTCACTTCATCCACCCAGTTTCCCTCCTCCTCCACCTGCCTTCTCCTGGAGGGCACCTTTGTGTCTGAAGGCTTTGTTTGTTTACTTGGATGAGTCAGCAACTCTCCGTGTCTCAGAACAGTTGTGGAGCTGTCCCGGTCTCCCTCCTTAAGCTCCAAACCCCACATTCACCCGCTCCCTTCCCACTGTCTCCATCTCTCCCCACAAGAATACAGAAGACAGAGAGCAGCAGATGCCTGGGTGCCCTCCTCCCCCACCCTTGTGTGCACCCCACCATCTTCTCAAAGGGGAAGGGGTCCCCTCCTACCCTCCAGCCTCAAAGAACTGGTCCTCCATCAAGCCAGAGTGTGCGCTCTCAGATCCTTGCAACCAGTGTTAAAAGGTCATGTATCCTCCTTTTTAAACCAAAGCACTCAGTGGACTCAACCCCCTGGACTCCCTGCCTCTAGGCATCTTCTTCAAGCCCTGACACTCCTGCTTCCTTTGATTCATTGCCCACGCTCTGTGTGCAGCATGGCTGCTCCCCCAAGCCCTGCCGAAGACCTTCTCGGAGGCCAGGGTGCCCTCGTGGGCCACACACTGGACCCACCCTGCCTCTTGAATCACCTCCCTCCTCCACTAACTCCTGCCTTCCTCCTGCCGGTGCCTGAGCAAGTCCCTGCTCTTCTTCTAACGTTCCTCCTTCTTCGCCATCGCTCACACCATGCTCCACTACCCCTTGACATCATTCCCACCCGACAAACTGAGGCAGTCACCACTTCTCTCCCAGCACCGCTGCTCTGCGAAGACCAGCCCAGGAACCTGGCACGGATGCAGAGCGCCCCGGAACGAGGGAGCCCTGGGGACTCTGGGCTCCTCAACCAGTGCTTGGTCACCAGGTGGTCGCATCCCCGCCACCACCATGGGTGGCTACTGAGCTGCCTCCAGCTTACCTGGGGCTCCTGCTGCACAGCCATCCTAGGCCCAGGCAAACTGGACGACACACACTACTCCACTGCAGAGGGCCCTGGGTCCCGGCCTTGGGTGTCAGGTGGCACCGTCTTTCAAGTTGTCAATTTCTGCCTTTTCCTGGGCCACTGATATGTAGTGATATCTACCTTGAGATGCTGGCAGAGGCAGTGAGGGCAGGTCCCAGGCAGCCCCACCACCCCGCTTTCTGCAGGTGTGTTGCTGAGCTGCAGTGTTTGGTCAGTGAGGCAGGTTGCCTGCAT